TGGTAATATGGCTCATGTGTTTATTTATTATTTGTGGGGCAATTTAAATGTGTTATTTATCTTTTTTTCAAGATTGAAATGAAGCTCAGTGCAAGTTCTTTCAGGAAGACTGGGTGTGTATACATTCACTCCGCAGCTGCATATAATCAGCTCATCACAGGCGTTCTCTTTAACCTATTACATTTCACCTCATTCTCCAGCAGCCAATCAGCAAGCTGCAGCCAGACTTTAAAATGGTTCTCCTCTCTCCTGCAGTCAGCTGTGATGTCAGGTGTTCATGCACCTTATCATGGCATGTGTCAATACATGTTCCAACTAAATGAAGTCTCTCCTGATTGAAACATCATGTGTTGAAATAAACAACTGCAGTTCAAAATAAAAAGTGAATTGCCTAATACTTTTGTTGTGGAATCAATTCATTTCTTTCTTTAAAGGCAAAAACATGAAAAAGCTAAGAAAAAAACTATTGAATAAAATATATTTGGAGCAACTTCATTTATAAATGGCTGTCAACTTAAAAACGTGTGTTCACAATGATGGTAATTAAGTACATACAACTTACAATTCCTTTTAAATCATACGGTAAAACAAGTTGGAGCAACTTCATTTTTGAGTACTCAACTTCAAAACTTGTGTTTATGCTCCAATTATTGTAAGTGGTAATTAAAAACACCTCTGACTGTAGAGGGAAAGCCTTCTCCCCTAACTCAAATAACTTTGTTGCTTTAAGACAATTTCATTAGAAGTTGTCTTAACTCAATAAACATCGATGCAAACTGTTGATTGATTTTCTTTGTTGAGCCAAGGCATTTGTTTTTAGAGTGTAGTGCTACCACCACACAACAGTTATTCATACGCTTTCTTTGGTTTAGTTTTCTGTAAAATCATTGGGGTGAACAGAATAGAAAAGACTATGTCAATGACAATGTCAAATGTATTGATGAAGCACATTTTAAAACAGTTGACCAAAGTGCTGTACAATTTATATAGTAAAAGTAAATGCAATAAAACAACACAATAAAACACACAAAAATAGAATATAATACTTTAGATTGCAGTTTTTGTAATAGATGATGTGATACCCTTTGTTTCTGTTTCTGTTGCCTCATAAGCCTAGGGTCTACGCCTGCTCTTGCAATGGCACATTATTCACAGTTTTTGACATAACCCCTGTCATTCTCCAGACCACGGTTTTAAATGTCCACTCTCCTAGTGTCACAGAATGGTCTGGGGCATCCATTCTGCTACACTACTCCCAAACTCTATAATGAAGCTCTGGTCTCTGGAAAGCGGTCACTTTCAATACAAGTCACGGTTTACTGAAGAAATAGGAGAACCTGTGTTTTAATGAAAGCTTTAGCGCAAGTTCAATAAGGAAGACCTAACTCGAGTAACTCACACGTCACTCTATGGCTCCCTTCCCCCCTCATTAAATACGAGGGCGTCACCCCTCAGCAGCCAATCGCTGCACATGCTAAATGCCTTAAATGCCTGCTCTTCCTCCCTGTCAGTTGTCATTGCAGATGATCACACGCAATGGTAGTTGCAATACAATACTGCTTTTCGTGAGAAAAACCGTAAGAAACAACTAGCTCAAGATGTCCAACTCGGACAATTCGGAACACGAACCTTCTCTGGAAGTCTCCGATCCCGGTTCGGCTCCCCACAGCGGCTTATCAACAGAGGAAGACTTCCTCATCGCCCGGCTCCTGCAGCAGGGCTTTCCCACAGCCCCAGGCCTCACTCTCTCTCAGCGGCGATAGCTCTCGGACCAGGTCTCCAGCGTAGCTCCCCAGTCCGGGGCAGCAGCTCCAGCCAGCTTCCCAGAGAGCAGGACGAGGCCGCAGCCGCGGAGGTAAAAAAGGGCAGGAAGTCGAGCCCTCCAGGATCCCGTCCCCCTCCAAAAAAATCCACCCCTTCTCAGGCTCTCCAGTCCGGGAGCGTCACACACCCCTATGGAGAGTAGCGCGGCCGGCTCCCTGCAATCCCTGGCTAGCTCCATGATAGCTATCGATGCTCGCCTCCAGGCTCTGGAAGACTCCGCCACAGGAGCTTCAACTTCCGTTGCACTCAGGTACTAGTTTTAACGAAAACGTTTGCACTCGACCCTTACACAGGGTTGGGTCGTAACGGAATACATGTAACGGTGTTACGTAATCGGGAAAAAAAGGGAACAAAATCAGTATATTCAGCTGGCGTTACATTTGAAAAACGAGTAAACTGAGTGCAGTTACTTTCGTAAACCTGAAGTGAATACTTATTGGAATTATTGGTGGAAAGTTTCCTCACAATGTAATATTCATTACCGGCAGAACCGTGTGCACAGCGCTGCAGCGTATCTGCGAGCGAGAGATGCAGCGTGTCCGTGAGGCCCCGCCCCGCACGCAGATGAGAGAGAGAGAGAGAGAGAGAGTTCTCTTTCAAAACATATTGGAAGGTAGAAACGGAGATGTTTAGATACAACGTGGAAGATAACGTTTATGTAGCATTTATTTATTGTCGAAATGATGACATTCATAACGGGATCAAATCTAACTGAATGGCCTGCTGCTGCCGAATGCATGGGGCAAGTAACTGGGAAAAGTTTTAAAAGTGATTACATCGTTTCAGATAATAAATAATAATGATAATGTATTCTATTTAGGGGCGCCTTTCAAAGCACCCAAGGACACCTTACAATGCATACACTTTTCCAAGGAAAGGTTTTAAGACAGTACAAATAATGTAGTCTGGGTGAGTTTTTCTTTTTATGTGCGGTGCAGATGAGAGAGCTGTCAAGAATGACACTAAAATGTTGTGTTCGTGCTCTTCATAAGCCATTAAAACAGTAAAATACGTGTCTCCCGTTCACCAAAACATACCCATCTGTTATGGAAAAGAAAGTATTCTAAAGAGAAAGAGGAAAAGATAGAAAGAAGAGGAAAAGGAGAAAAGATAAAAAGAAGAGGAGGGAGGAAGAAAAAGAAGAGGAAAGGAAGTATTCTAAAAGTAATCTGCCACCGGTACCGGCGGGATCGTGGTTAGTTTCCGATGCGCAGAAGAAAAATCTGGCCCACCCTATATTTTTACAGGCCCACCCTAAAGTACATTTCTGCCTACGCTACTGGTCCGCACAGCAGCAACAACCAATCACATGAATCTCTTGCCCCCGACACACAAAGCAATAGCAATGTTAAAACTAAGTAAACTGGAAAAAAAAATTTTTTTAAAAATCCCCAACAGGCGAAAACCTACCAGTTTCACCCACTGTCTCTGCCTCCTCCCTCCATGCCTCGCTCCTCTGGTTTGTATCCCGGTAGATGAACAGAGACTGATCATACAGCACCGGGTGATTCACTACCGCCATAATGAATTTTCCCTCACATTTTTGGAATATGAGGAATTACCTGCGTAGTCTCTCCCAACATACACGCGGTCTGATTGGCTAGCGCTTGTACCGGCAGATTTGCATAAACGGGATTTCATTGGCTGACGCTTCTGCCGAGGCGCCAAAAGTTGAACATTGCTCAACTTTTTGAAGCGAGCAACGCCAGCAAACGCTCCACGTCGCTTCCCAAAATACAGTTATACTAAAAGTGACGTCACCCCATTCAAAGTGAATGGGCAGAAGCGTCTGGAAGCTGTAACGCACGCCACCGTGTGGACGGGCCGTCACAGTGGCTCTGCGCCAGAAACATCAACAAATAAATAAATAACTAAAAACATTCTGGAATATCACCCCTCCACTCCCATTAACATCCCTCAGCTAGCAGCTGCGCTATCTACAGATTCCGTGTTTGTTGACTATCTCCCGTCAGGGCTCTCCCAAGGCTTCAGGGTAGGGGTCCTCCCATCTCCCACAGTGACTTTCGTAGCAAGAAACTTACAGTCAGCCGCTAAAGAACCCAACATAGTTTCCCAGCTCATCGACAAAGAACTTCTCAAAGGATATATAATCGGTCCTTTTAGCTCCTCCCCCTTCTCAGTGCCACACGTAAATAAAAGGCTGATTTTCGATCTGTCCGCTCCCTGCTCCGGCCCATTCTGCAGCGTCAATAGCATCATCCCTCCAGATCAGTTCTCCCTTCACCATGCCTCAGTGGATAATGCAATAAAGATGATCAAGTTCACAGGGCACGGAGCTCGGCTCTCCAAAGCGGACATTACCGATGCCTTCAAATCATCCCCATTCATCCGTCTCAGTGGAACTTGTTCGGTATTAAGTGGGAGTCCAAACTCTATCTTTGCGTTCGCCTGACCTTCGGGTGCAGAAGCAGCCCCTGTATCTTCAATTCCTTCTCGGAAGCGCTCTATTGGATCCTGCTGAACATCGTCAGAATCCCCTCCGTCCTTCACCTACCGGACGACTTCCTCCCCATAAACCCGCACAGGACAGCTCAGGGATCTCACTGGCCAAGCTTAAACACTGCTTCAGGAGTGAGGTGTCCCTCTCTCCAAAGAGAAAAACGTTAGGTCCCGTCACACGCTTAGAGTTCTTAGGCATCATCCTCGACTCCATAGACATGAAGGCGTCTCTCCCCTCAGACAAATCGCAGCGCATCCAGGACATCACCAAGTCATACTGCGAGCAACAAGTTATCACAAAACAACAGTCGCTCTCCCTTCTCGTACACCTCAACTTCGCCATGCACGTCATCCCCCAGGGGCGCTCGTTCATCTCCCGCCTCCTGGACGCAGCATCAGCGGTCGACAACCTCCATGACTGCGTTTTCTTAGACGAAGGCTGCCGCTCAGACCTTCGGTTCTGGTCCCTCCTGCTCGCCCACTGGAACGGAATTACTTTATTTTACGATGGCCTCGTGCGTTCCTCTGACTCAATGAGGTCTTCACGGATGCCGCCCATCCATGGGTTTTGGGGGGTTTCTTCCAGGGAGAGTGGTTCGCAGGGTCATGGCCCCGTCAATTTCTACCTCAAGCAAGTTCTCACTAAATCCAGCCTATCACCCATATCATAGCCGGGGCATTCCTTCAGGATAGGTGCAGCCACCTCTGCTGCTAATCAAGGTCTCTCTACCTCATCCCTACAACAACTAGGACGGTGGTCCTCCTCCGCCTTCACAACCTTCATTCGTCCGGACATCAGCGCCGTACGGGCTTCCCAAAGATCTCTCAGACCCTAACTACACTCAAAAAACTGATTCTTGGTCCACATAAATATGAAGCAATATTTTCAGATATAATATAACTGAAATCTGTCAAATATAAAGTGGATTTGTTCAAGCAATTAAACACAACGTGAATATGTTGAATATAAACGGAATGTAAGACAATTAGTACAGTTTATTCTATTAAATCCCATAAAGGGGAGGCAGACCCTGAAGGGAGGTAACGCGCATGACGTTGATTGTTCACACTGGACGTAGACTTGGTGTTTTCTATGTGCTACCCGCTTGACTTGGCGTTTGGTTTCAACCTACACCGTCGATCGACGGACTTTAGGTAAGTCTAATTGTTTAATATTCCGCTGCTTAACCATACGTTATTGAAGATGAACAGTTATTTTAACGTGTTTATGCTATACGAATAGAATTGTCTGCATGTGTATATTCGTCGTGCAGTTAGTTTCGCGCCACAATGCTGGCTGGCTGGCTAGCTAGCGAAACGAGGCCTAGCTAGCGAAACGAGGCCTAGCTAGTTGGGTGCTGCTTGTACTAAGCATGAACCAGAGCCAGCAGCACAGTTTGTGCTTTGTTGCCCTCCAAACATAAGCCCGAATGCCCTATTAGGAGGGCTATGTATGTTTCTGTCGCTTAGGTTGCGTCAATAATTACAGTAGTAGCTTAGCCTTAGCCACCGTACTTCCGGTCTGTCTCAATGCGGTGATCGCAGCACAGATACACCCGGGAATTCGTGAGAGTAATGGCGCGTTTCCACTGCAGCGGGTAGCTCGCTTTAAGCGTGCTAATAAGGCCTAACCAAACCGAGCGAGGCCTGAAGTGGAAACGCGCCATTAGTAATTCAAGTTACATTGGAGTTCTTTTCGTGTCGTATTTTTAGCTAACACTATCTAATACTTTCTTATATCAACTCCACTCTTCGTCATGACATAAGGCTTAGCTATAGCTGTAGCTCGAGCCAGACAGAAAGAGAGTAGAGTTAGGATAGGAAAGAAAAAAGAAATGCATAAATACATGGATGAAAATAAATAAATGTAAGACATATTGGAGCCCTCTTAATTTACCAACTTCTATTCATGCATTTATGTACTTGATTTATGTATATATTCATGAATTACTCATGTATTTATGCTTTATTTTACTATTCATTTAGTATTTATTATTTTTCTTCCAATTTGTCTTCATTCTCTCAAGTATTTATTTACTGCTGCAATTATTTATACTATTAATTATTTCCCTATTCCCTCTTATAGTTATTTGAGCATTCATTTCATTTAGTGATTATTTGATTGATTTATTGATGTTTGTCATGTTGTTGTCCTCCATACTAGGGTTGGTGTGAATAATCAAATATGACATAATACTAATTAATTAGTGATTAAAAACCGACATTTTCTACCAAGTAGCATCATTTTAAAATCAAGCTGCTGCTCTACATCACAGACATCCAGCAGAGGCCTTATTTATTTACATAATATTTCAATATCTGGCTAGTTTGCTGCATTGTTCTACAATGCCAAGGAATAGCTTATTCCTCACCTTTGGAAACTAACCGTGTGCTATTTTTGTTATAGATCTAGGAGCTAAATCAACATTGTGGATGGGCAACCTCTATATAGGTAAGTAATTTGAACGTGATGCAATAATTTCATTTATTATACTTCATAGCATTGAGAAGTTTTTTAAACTTGTATTTTTTTAATTTTTTTTTTAGGTGTAATATGTGAATGGGCGTGTGGCAATGTAAGGTGTGTGGAAAGTCTGTAGCAAGTAGATACGAGCTGCTTAAACATGGCAAATTAAAACATCATGGGAACAGGTTCCGGCATCCTTGCCCATACACTAATTGCCCCTGCACATTTAGATTGTGGAACAGTCTTTTGAGTCATATATACCGTAGTCATAAAACCCAAACATCTCCAAAGCCATCTGAGTTGTCTACATTTTCATGTCAGTTGTGTGCTTGTCCTGAGCTTTCAAATGAACAAGCTTATTTCAGTCATGTAAATGAACATCTACGGAGAAATGAAACTGTAACATGCATGTTTAAAGATTGTGTTTTTAAAACTAACATCTACAATACATTTCATACTCATAAATACAGGAAACATAATCCCCATATTTTAAGTGATTTCAAAGCTGAGGTTGTTACTGTAGTTGTTGGATTAATTGAATCTGACAATACTGTTATTGATGGTGCTGCAGATGCAGATGTAGAATCTGATACTTGTATAGATGCACATGGTTGTTTTGATACTGAAGATCTACCCAAGGTTATTGAGCAGAAAATTGCCTCTGTTTTACTGAAATTAGAACACATTTTGTTTGTACCGGCAACTGCAATTGACGAATTACTGCAGGAATTACACTTTTTGTTAAGCTTCTCATCTGTTCCAATAACCTTTAACGGCCTATCGGACATTTTTAAAAACCACTGTGTTGAAATTGATGAGTCCATTGTCAAAGAGCTTGCTCAAGAAGTGTGTAAATCTAATCCCTTGACCAAAGCCTTTGCAAAAGACGGCCCCCTCGCTACATCTTTCAAAAGAAAAAAGTATTACAAAGAATATTTCAGTGTGGTAAATCCAGTTGAGTACATCCTTGATCCTAAGAGTAAAAGAACATATCAGTATATTCCTATATTGCGTTCTTTGCAGCATCTGTTAAGTAACAGTGACATACTAAAAAGTGTAATTCACACACACGAGACACAGAAAAGTACACAATGTTTAGGGCAGTATAAGTCGATAAGAGATGGAATTTACTCAAAAGAAAATGGCCTTTTTACTGGGGAGGATTTCAAATTATCATTATCACTATATGTTGATGACTTTGAGGTGTGCAACCCCATAGGTACATCCAGAAAAACTCATAAACTTTGTGGTGTGTATTGGATTTTGAATAATTTACCACCTGGATCTCACTCAGCTCTTTCTTCCATCTACTTAGCTGTATTATGCAAGACTATTGATGTGAAAGAGTACGGATATGAACACATTTTAGATCCCCTTTTACAAGACTTGGTCATTCTAGAGACACATGGTGTTTTTATTTCAGGTCTTGGAGCGTCTGTGAAAGGCACTGTCCAGTCGGTCATTGCAGACAACCTAGGAGCCCACGGGATAGCAGGGTTCATTGAATGCTTTTCTGGTGTCTACTTCTGCAGATTTTGTACAGGTACAAGAGCAGACATTCAGACTAAAACGGTTCAGTCAGGTTATTTTGAAAATCGTACAAAAGACTTGCATCACAAGCACATTACATTTGCAAGAGAGAATGCCACCATCTGTTGTGGGGTAAAGAGAGAGTGTGTTTTTACAAAAAGATTATCTTACTTTCACGTTACTCGGGGCTACCCTCCTGACATTGCACACGACTTATTTGAGGGTGTTGTTCCAGTTGAGATTGCCCTTTGCATTGGTTTGTTTATTTCCAAGAAATATCTATCTCTTAACACTTTAAATGAGCTTATCCTGAGCTTTCCATACAAGTGGGGGGACAGAACTAACAAACCTCATACCATACCGCGCACTTTTGCCGCTTCCAAGACCATTGGAGGAAATGCCCACGAAAATTGGAATCTGTTGAGGTTGTTGCCATTTATTATTGGAGACTTGATACCAGAGGCAGAGCCTGCTTGGCATGTTTTGCTTGATTTAAAAGAAATTGTTGAACTCTCTGTCGCCCCTCTTCATAATCAAGAAACTATTGCCTACTTGGACTGTAAAATCGTAGAACACAGAGATAGATTTTTGGAGCTTTTCCCTACAAAACTGTTACCAAAACATCACTATATTGAGCATTATCCTCAAATGATTGAACGTTTTGGACCTTTAGTTGGGCAATGGACCATGAGGTTTGAGGCAAAGCACAGTTTCTTCAAGCAAGTTGCTCGTCACACAAATTGCTTCAAGAATGTACCACTCACATTGGCATTCAAACATCAGCAAATGATTGCATATCATATCACTGCATCCCACCTTAAATCAACATTGGAAGTTTCAAATGTTTCCATGCTTCCTGTGGATGTACTGAACCAGAAAGTAGTGTTACACCTCAGGCAAAAATACCCCACTATTAACGAAGTACATTTTGCAAAGCACGCAACCCTTAAAGGAATCTCCTACAGAGTTGGCATGCTCATTCCTTATGGCTCAACTGGTGGTCTGCCTGATTTTGCTGAAATAATTCAAATATGCATTGTTGAAAAGAGTGTGAGCTTTGTTGTAAGGGTATTGTGTGCATGGTATCACGAGCACTTCAGAGCGTATGAGTTGACCATATCTCCGAATAGTGAGGTTGCCCTCGTTGATGTTGAACAGCTGCTCGATGCTTATCCACTCTGTGACTACACTGTCGGTGTAAGGCGAATGGTTACCCTGAAAAGGCATATCATTGTTTAAGGTTGGTCTGAATGTGACTTAAACAGCTGTGAATGAAAGCTGAATACTCTGTAGATATTTCTTTATTTAAAAGGGACAATGCACATTAACATGAACAACGTCCATCATGTAAAGGTGCCAGATTTAGCCATATGTGCCAAATTTCACCTGCAGTCTCTAGCAGGATGATTGCATTTGAGAAAACATTAGAAAGCATACAAAAACACGACATGTAAGCTTAAAACATGAGCACATGCGCATATAAAGAAGTAACAATCACTATTCCATGCCATTACAGCTATTCCTGTGTAAGCACAACACAAGCATAAAATAACAATTAATTACGTAAATGTTACAAGTTAATATTTAGTGATGGTTTAGTACTTGTCCTAACTTTGTTTCCCTGTATTTGTTTCCTAGAATACATTGAGGGGAAAGATGTCATGTCCTGTCCACCTGCGAGTTGTTCTTGGTGTAGATGACGCAAGAAAACTTACCCTCAAGTCAGGAATGCCATCATCTGTGGATCAACTTGTCCTTGAGATAAAGACCTATTTTGGACTTGAACAACAGTTCAGGCTCCAATACAAGGATCTCGACTTTGGAAATGAGTATTTTAATCTTGAGTCAATCAGTGACATTGAAGACAAGGCTACTGTAAAAGTGGTATTTGTTTCATGTGAAGAAACTAGCTCCAGCATTCCAGAGACATCACTACCTTGCAGCACCAGCACACCATTAACTTCACCCATGACATGCAACAGCTCTGTGATCCTAACCCTAACCTCTGTAAATGCCCTTCGTACTACATCCCCTGATGAAGACGGCTTGTCTTCTCAGCACTCATTTGACAGTGGAGACGCTGTCATTCTAGATCCAGCTCCAGAGACAAGAACCTCCTCCTGGCCACCAATCTTCTTTGTTCCCCGCTTTTCATATTTTGCTGAATTTCAGCTCCAAAGAGCAACTGCTGATTTCAGAGCAAATGGCACTCTTCTTACCCCTTCTCCTAAACTGCGAATGGATATCCTTGAAGGCATGGCTGAAGAAATATTCAAATGCACAGCATATCCCAGTGATTCCCAAATTGAAGAGGCTGCTACTGTCCTTGTGCATACCCATCCATGCTTGAAGGAGAGAGGAACTCGTGCTGGCCATGAGGGATGGAAGCAGTATCTAAAAACAAAGGTTGCCAATTTCCGCACAAAACTAAACAAGATTGGACACCCTGAGGTCAGTGTAAACTCTCTCAAGAACAAGCGCAAAGGACAAGAACAAGCAGCTGCAAATATCAAAAAGCCAAGAAAGGCAGAAGTTAACTTCCTCCCACCACTCCCTAGTGGTGAAACAAGAGACAGTCTTGAGAAAGAAAGGGTAGTGCTCCTGACCGAGGTGAAAAAGAGAAACAACGACGCTGTAGTCAAAAAGAAGATGCAGAAGACCTTCGCCTACAGACGCCAAGAGATTGTCCAGGAAGCTCCTGTGGTGGCTGAACTTGTAAACAAGTGGCCTGCCTTGTTTACAGTGAGTGAAGTGAGTATTGTTAATAATGATATTTTGATATTAATATTGCTCTGCTGATGTAGAGCTTACTCACACTGTTTAGTGCAAGTATAATTGAAGAACATGACGTTTATTTAATTGTTTGTCTCAGATAAATGCAGAATTCATGCGAATCACAACTTTGCCACTCCAAGCCAAGTTCCTGGCAGAGCTTGACAGATACTCGCCTAACCTACTGAAGGTCTTCCACAATAGAGGAGGAGATGCTGGAAGGAAGATCCGGCTTCTCATGGCACCGACAGCTAGGGTAAGTGCATTGTGCATTACATCCTTACATTATTTAGCCATATGAGCATATTTTTGCCATCCAACACTGGTTTTAACAAGTTTTAAAAAATCCTTGAAAATATATAGGTTTGTGGTTAGCACTGCCACTAACCACCAATGAAGAGCAATCTGAAGTGCAGCTCATTTTAAAAGTTGTCCTTATTTTTACCACAACATGAAGGTTTCTTGAGATGATAGTTTTAAAAATAGATCAACACAATCAAGTAATATGTGTATGTCCTATTAAAGGGAAGCTCAATGTAGAAAGATTAGAGAGAAAGGTGTCCCAAGTATTTTCAGATTGAAAATATTTCTAATGCACGCAAAATATTGATTTCACATTAACAATAAATCCCAATCATGTCAGTTTTCTTAAAACTATTTGGATGTTTAAAAGTATTCAGTATGTTCAATCTACATTAATAAATTGTTTGTCGTATCTAAACTCAATTGCTATCGTATGTGGGTGGTTATAGGATCCTTTGTAAAGGCTAAATTAATTTTTCACACATACCAAGCGGTTTATATATGATATGAATAAATGTAACAACATTCTGATATTAAAAACTACATTTGAGTTTAAAGCACATGTATTTTGATCAGACTTACATGTGTCAACCTTCTTCTCGCATGTTTTTTACATTAACAATAAATAATATACTTGTGCATACATTTTTTGTGCAAAGTCTTGAAATATTGAATATGTCTTGTTTTTATAGAGTGAGGACATTGAGCTCAAAAGAGACTCTGTCCTGAAAAGTCTGTGTGCCTACCTGAAGGAGGACAGCAACAGTCTCATCAAGGAGTACCTGGTAAGTAATTTGACTGTAACGTTTTTGTATTAAAGGTACATAACAATGTGTTAAGAGTATAATGGCTTAAATATAAGTTTGTTATTTGTATTACCCTAGAATGATCATTTTTGTTGTCTACATAGGAGCGGGTACGTGCCGCAATGATTCTACACTAGCACAGAATGGACAAACTTAATGGCCATACACGTTTTTATACATAGTAGGTGCCTGCTAGAAAAGCCTTAGTTATTGAGCTATAACATATAGTACTATAGATAAATAACCAAGTCCATCTTCAGCACACTTGATACTGAAAGGCTTGAGGCAGTGGTGGATGATGCCATCTTCAGTTACTAAATTACTGTCCTTGAAGGCCACCATACTTTCTGAACATTTTTCCAAAGGGAGGGTGGAGTAAGGGAGCTTTGCTATCTCCGATATTACGCACTGAACCTTTTAAAGAGTCTATGTCTACTTTTTCAAAATAGTCATCTTGTTTTCCACCTTTTTTTAGAATGTCAGGAGTGAGGAAGCCGAGAGTGCAATCCCACAGACTACCATGGGACTTTATGTGATCCGCAATGAGGGCGCTCAGGAAGAGGACGGGCCAGAGGATGTCGGTGTGATCATCGAAGGTGTGGAACTGCTATCCAATCTGCGAAGTATTTCGTTAGGATGGGCCATGCTTTTTGGGTTGATTTACACTCTCAACTTGAGCTATCCACCGGAACTCAAGTTCACTTTTGAGTTTTTACAGAAAGTGTTGATGAACTTGGATGGCAACAAGCTGTCACCAAAGGTCCAAAGCCTTAAAATCAAGATGCTTCAGTGAGCCCATCATTTCAGGGCTGGACAATCAAGCTGTGACAAGAATTTTTCTTGTTGGACAATATACGTTTGATGACTACATACTACTTAAGGCGGTTCAAGTAGGAAATATTGAACTCTGGGACAGTTATTTTTTGGCACATTCATTCGGTTTGAACTTTAATGGACCATTTTGGTGGAGAAAACTGTTCTTTGACATGTACATTTTTCGATGAGATTGCATAATCTTTTGTTGCAATAGATGAGAACGAGCGATGGAGATCCCTTTTTTTTTTTATCGCCATAAACATCTCATGGACTCGCCACTTAAAAAGCTACAATGCCAAGTGAGATTCCTCTGTGAAAGTCAGTCTGAAAATGTTTACAATGGACAATTGTGATGTTCTTAAAAGTTGCAAGGTGTTGAATTTTAACATTTCTTTTCACCACTTAAAAAGCTACAATGCCAAGTAAGATTCCTCTGTGAAAGTTAGTCTGAAAATGTTTACAATGGACAATTGTGATGTTCTTAAAAGTTGCAAGGTGTTGAATTTTAACATTTCTGTGTTAATACCTAATAGAGTGGTGCAGTGAAGATGTATTTTTGTAGGCCGACCCTGAAGTAAGCTGCGCAAGGGTTCCCTCGACAAAAAAGCAATGGGATTTCTCTGTGGGTCTGTGGAAAACGAACCCGTTTGATAAATGCACATTTTGTTCAGCCGGATAATCTCCACGTCTACCTACTTTTATAATAATTACAATTATAATAATACAAATTAGAAAAGTAGGTAGACGTGGAGATTATCCGGCTGAACAAAATGTGCATTTATCAAACGGGTTCGTTTTCCACAGACCCACAGAGAAATCCCATTGCTTTTTTTTGTCGAGGGAACCCTTGCGCAGCTTACTTCAGGGTCGGCCTACAAAAATACATCATCACTGCACCACTCCATATTGAAAAATGTTGCACTTGAATTTGATTCCAACGCTTTCTGAAAGCGTCAGGAATGGAGCAGCTCAAGGTAGCTTAATGGGTTACAAAGGGGACTGCAGTTGCCTCCTGTTTATTCCAGACCATTATATTTTCTTAACTGTGAAAAAAGTACTCATGCTGTGAATACTAGTGCTGGGGGGAAACGATTATTTTGAAAACGATTAATCGGGCGATTATTTGATCGATTAGTCGACTAATCGAACGATTATTTTTCTGTTGTTCAATTCATAAAAAACGTAATGTAAAAAAAAAATTGTTCACGATACTGTGTCTCAGGGGATCTTAATATTTAAGAACCTATTAATGTGTTATACCAGATTAACGGAAATAATCTCAGCTAACTGACGATACAAACCATGTTTACCAAAACAAAACACAAGTCTCATAAGAAGCATCTAAATGACCCCTGAGCGAAAAATGCTAACGGACATTGGCACAGATCTCAAGATAAAAGTACCCTTATTACTTATCGTAGCTGCACATACAAGATATCCGATTAAAGCTGAGACTCCACAGATTATGTAGGTACATAGTATCATCACTGAGTGATCCGGACTCGCGACAGGGGAAGCAAATAGTCATCACAACACGTACCTTCACAGAGCTTCTAGGGAGATCGTCTCACCGCCGTAGCTGTCAATCTGATCAAAAGACGTGTTCAATGGCATTCAAATGAGAAAAAACGCGGCTGAATCGGTTAATCCATCCATCCATCCATCCATCCATCTTCTCCCGCTTATCCGTGGTCGGGTCGCGGGGGTAGCAGTTCCAGCAGAGAGCCCCAAACTTTCTTTTCCCTGGCGACATCAACCAGCTCTGACTGGGGGATCCCAAGGCGCTCCCAGGCCAGCGAAGAGATATAATCCCTCCACCTGGTCCTAGGTCTACCCCTTGGTCTCTTCCCAGCTGGACGTGCCTGGAACACCTCCCTAGGGAGGCGCCCAGGTGGCATCCTAACTAGGTGCCCGAACCACCTCAACTGGCTCCTTTCGACGCGAAGGAGGAGCGGCTCAACTCCGAGTCCCTCCCTGATGACCGAACTTCTCACCTTATCCCTAAGGGAGACACCAGCCACCCTGCGGAGAAAACCCATCTCGGCCGCTTGTATCCGCGATCTCGTTCTTTCGGTCATGACCCATCCTTCATGACCATAGGTGAGGGTAGGAACGAAAATGGCCCGGAAGACAGAGAGCTTTGCCTTCTGGCTCAGCTCCCTTTTCGTCACAACGGTGCGGTAAAGCGACTGCAGTACCGCTCCCGCTGCCTGTCTATGTATAAACAAATTATTGAATTTATAATCCATAATTCCATTTTAAATCGGAGAGCAAATGCTAGCTGCTAATGGTTGCCACCACAGCTAGCTGCTGCTTCCGGTCAAGCAGCAGTCTCAGTGAGATATAAATATCTTTGCGTTTTGGACTAACTTTAAAATATTCCCATGCTTTTGAAGACCTAGGGCGAGATGTTTTCGTTTGAGGGCTTCGTGCGCAATCCTGTGAGGAGGAGTTGGTAGCCGTTTCAGTCTCCATTGTGTTAGAAGTGCGATTGCGAACTGCTTGTTGCTTTGGGTGACCCACGTGTGTGTGGCGTCATACAGTCTATGGTGGCGACGCGTCGACGCGGAAATATGTCGTCGACGATATTTTGAAGTCGACGCGTTGACGACGTCGACGCGTCGCTACAGCACTAGTGAATACAAAGCTGACTGTTCAGTGTTTGCAATGTGGTTGTGAAAACATTGTGAAATATTTGTGGTTTAAAGTTTAGTGAACAGCACTAGGTTGAAGAAAATACCATCATAGTTTGAGCTCAAAGTAATGAATGTTTGGTCAATCTGGAAATGTGACAAATTGACAGATTTGATGATGAAAGGATGTGAGCAGATGTTGAAAAAGTTCCATTGTGAATTAAACCTTGGAAAACTATTCTTGTATGTGCATATATGATTTAGTTGCACAATGATGCATATGAAAAGCATTTAAAACATCCCTTAACCTGTATGTGCAGTAAGTGAATCAACACATTAGGTTTATTTAAAACATCCCTTAACCTTTATGTGCAGTAAGTGAATCAACACATTAGGTTTATTTAAAACATCCCTTAACCTTTATGTGCAATAAGTGAATCAACACATTAGGTTTATTTAAAACATCCCTTAACCTTTATGTGCAATAAGTGAATCAACACATTAGGTTTATTTAAAACATCCCTTAACCTTTATGTGCAATAAGTGAATCAACACATTAGGTTTATTTAAAACATCCCTTAACCTTTATGTGCAGTAAGTGAATCAACACATTAGGTTTATTTAAAACATCCCTTAACCTTTATGTGCAGTAAGTGAATCAACACATTAGGTTTATTTAAAACATCCCTTAACCTTTATGTGCAGTAAGTGAATCAACACATTAGGTTTATTTAAAACATCCCTTAACCTTTATGTGCAATAAGTGAATCAACACATTAGGTTTATTTAAAACATCCCTTAACCTTTATGTGCAGTAAGTGAATCAACACATTAGGTTTATTTAAAACATCCCTTAACCTTTATGTGCAGTAAGTGAATCAACACATTAGGTTTATTTAAAACATCCCTTAACCTTTATGTGCAGTAAGTGAATCAATACATACATTTTATGTAAAAGTTGGCATTAATTCTATTAATCCGATCTAAAAGTTACTTAATTATTTCACACCAAGTCAACGTAATGGAAAAACTTAGCATTGAAGTGAGTATTTACATTAAACTTACATGATAAAATTGAATGGAAAATGTACATGTAATTAAAACACTTAAAGTCAACGCTTTTGGCTTAATTATTTTTTTGAGTGTATGGTAGTTATACATATAACTGGTGGTGGCTCAAACACATTCACAAGTATACATGTCTCACTAAGGTTCCCGATATTCAAAACTGCATTCCTGTCCTAATTCCGCGGGCCCCGCCCACAGGGAATAATGTCTCGTCTCACGCTGCAACCACATGTAACGGGCTTCATCTCCGGCACACAGGTATTTCATTCCCAGGCCTTGCTCAAACGTATCAGTGTAAAATGTATTTCCTGCAGTCCGCGTGGACTCGGGCCACCGTACACTCCGGTGTCAGTTACAAAACAAAGGAAGTAAAGAAAAAGATATATATATATATATATATATATATATATATATATAGCCTGCGAAGTCAGGCGTGGCGGAAGGCCACCGTACACTTCGGTGTCAGTTACAAAACAAAGGAAAAAGAAATGAAGAGTAAGAAAAAAAAAAAAATATATATATATATAGCCTGCGAAGTCAGGCGTGGCGGAAGGCCACCGTACACTTCGGTGTCAGTTACAAAACAAAGGAAAGAGAAAGAAAAAAAAAAATATATATATATATATCTATATATATAGCCTGCGAAGTCAGGCGTGGCGGAAGGCCACCGTACACTTCGGTGTCAGTTACAAAACAAAGGAAAGAGAAAGAAAGAGTAAGAAAAGGATATATATATATATATATATAGCCTGTGAAGTCAGGCGTGGCGGAAGGCCACCGTACACTTCGGTGTCAGTTACAAAACAAAGGAAAAAGAAATGAAGAGTAAGAAAAGGATATATATATATATATATATATAGCCTGTGAAGTCAGGCGTGGCGGAAGGCCACCGTACACTTCGGTGTCAGTTACAAAACAAAGGAAAGAGAAAGAAAGAGTAAAGATATATATATATATATATATATATATAGCCTGCGAAGTCAGGCGTGGCGGAAGGCCACCGTACACTTCGGTGTCGTAGCGGAAGGCTACCGTTACAAAACGAAACCGCTCGCTCCTCGGCGTAGTCAAGCCCTGCTGGCCAGGCATGCGACCCGCAGGTCGTTTTCAGGTAAGACCGGTGTTGTGTCACATTATGCCTCCCCGTCATGAAATGCCCCCCTTGTCACGGGAACGCGCATTTCTAAATGACACGTTTACACCTCTAAATGACACGTTAACACCATAGGTTTACACCTTAAAACGATGTTTAAAACGAAAAGTAAACGTTCAGGGTTTTTATTAATGGTAATTTTCAGACTGTGAGTTGTTTAGTGGTAGCTCATAGTCTTGATTCTTCTGGTTTAACTTTTCGCTCCGTATTTGAGGTGTCGAAATTCGTTCGTCACTTCCTTTTCAGTTTGTTTTTTTAAATGTTTTTTTTTATCATTATTGTTACGTCCTGTCTGTATAAACGTGCTTTAAAATGTATTGTTTAATTTTACATAGTTGTCATCTAATAATCAAAATATGTTTACAAATGTTACATAGTCTTTGTCAGCATATATGCTATGCATACAAAATAAAAGTGTGACATTCATGAAACTTGCTCCATTTATTGGTACCAGTCCTAGAACCATACCCTGAAAAATGCTTGAGGGTGGGATTCATAGAAACCTCTTTTGGTGGGGGGGGGGCATTATATGACAGGCCTGGCCATCACAATATGCCCCCCCTTGCTATCTTACAAAATAAAAGTGTCACATTCATGAAACTTGCTCCATTTATTGGTACCAGTCCTAGAACCATACCCTGAAAAATGCTTGAGGGTGGGATTCATAGAAACCTCTTTTGGTGGGGGGGGGGAATTATATGACAGG